CACTTAAATATAATTTTTGTCTTTAAATTTTTCCCAATTTGTGACAAATTATTTTTTCATTTTTCATCCTTATTAGGGACGAAATTTGTTCAGTTTTTCGTCCCTATAAGGGATAGACTATTTTTTGTCCCTATTAGGGACCAACTTTTTTCCATCCCCATTTGGGATAGAACTATTTCCATCCTATTAGGGACGGATTTTAGAAACAATATCTTAATTCTATCCCGAGTTGGGACGAACAATATTTTGTCCCTATTAGGGACGGAATTAGAGATGGATTAAACAAATAAAAAAATTTCCATCCCTAATTCTGTTCTTAATAGGGACATAATATTTTTCCATCTCAAAATTAGTCCTTATTAAAGACAGAACTTATTTCATCGCTAATTCCGTCCAAATAGGAACATAATGATTTTTCCGTCTCTAAATCCATCCCAATTAGTGACAGAATATTTTTCGTCTCTAAAATTCGCCCCAATTAGTGACAGAATATTTTTCGTCTCTAAAATCCGCCCCTAATTCATACTTTTTTAGTAGTGGATCTTCCAATACTTCGAGTTCTTGGATACCTTACAACCTCCAAGTTTGCGGGTACTTGGCAATCTTACAATTCTCTCCAAATTTCCCTAGGTATTTGGCCACTTTTCAAACTCAATGGGTCTCACCAAGGAAGCACGGACACTTGTAAAAACAGGAAGAGTCGGGTCCGACACGCTCCGACACGGCGACACGCTCCGACACGCTCCGACACGGTGTCGGACACACGGTTGACTTTTTCCGACACGTTGACCATTCCGACACGCGAATTTGACCGTGTCCGACACGGTCAAATGGCATTTTCGTAATTTTTTTTTAATTTTTTTTTTAATTTTTTTTAAAAAAATTTATTTTTTTAAAAAGTTAAAATATATTAATAAAGCTTCCACCTGATCATATCAATTTTATCTTTTGTCTTTTTTCCCCTTAAGTAGATAAGAGATCATCTCAGCATCATTGTTGTAAATTCCTATCACGCTCTTGTTGTATCTTCTTCTCTCTAATATGATTTGATCTCTCTATCTGATATTATATATATATCTCATCCCAGTTCTTATTTTTTTATTAAAGCTTCCATCTTTATAACATATTAATGGGTATTATTAATTTTGTTTCATTTTTTTTGTTAAATTATTAAATATTAAATGAAATATACACTATATAAATTAAAAATATTATTTAATATTAAAACGTGTCCCAACGTGTCGAAATCCATAATTTTTTAAGATTGACGTGTCGGAGTGTCGTGTCGTGTCGTGTCACGTGTCGCGTGTCGTATCGGTGCTACATAGGGTCTCACAACCTTTCAACTCAAGAATACAAGAAGGAAGTGTTTAGAGATAAATATACATTCTCAAAGAATGGATATACAACTCGAAGTACTATGGGTATATGAAATTTTATAATATGAGCTCAAATATGTGTGATCTTTGAAAGATATGCAAATATAGTGAAAAAGCTCACAAATTATCCTTAGCACGTGTAAGAATAGTGATCAATCAGTTTTAGGGTCGTGGGGAATGTATATGTAGTGATTTTTCCCAAAATTAGCCATTTATAGTTGTTATAAGCTTTTTATCGCAGTGGTAATCGTTACCACTATTTGGTAACCGATTACCTCATATGGTATTTGATTACTCTCTAAAAGAGAGTTATTTTAGGGCTTAATTGTGATATTTTGGTACCATGATTGTATATAATTCTCTTGATTTTATATGATTAATGCATGAATTCTATGATTTCATGATTTAATTGAGAATTATGTTAATTATGTGTATTTGGATAAAAATAAGCATTGGAAACATTTAAATACACTTGTTATTTTACTGCAAGTCAATGCTATAGCATCAGAAAGCAGTGCTGTAGCAGTGCAGATGAGGTCAGCAATGCATCATGACCAGCAAGCTATGGATCCAAGCCCAATTAGCTAGAAGAAGTTTCTGAACGTGTAATCAGAGTCCTGAGCTGGCTACGCGCTTTAAAACATTCAAAGGATCACCATTAAAGCTTCATTAAATCAGCGATTACATTTCCAAATTCAGACCTGAAACACGAAATGGAAAGAATGAGATATGCAGTAGCATTATGTGTTGTCCCTGATCAGCGCTGCAGCAAATAAGGAAAGAATCTCCAATCAGCGCTGTAGCAAAACACAGCTGTATCTTCAATCAAGCGCTGCAGCAATAAGGAAAAAATGTTCTGTCAGCATTACAGCAAAACAAAGTGTCATCCTTATCCACTCACAGGACAAATTTGAATGAAGATTTACATGGACCTGAAAAGTTGTTGGAGGCCTAGAATATCAAGTATATAAAGGAACGAATCCTACACACATAAGAAAGGCTAGGAACGCTACACATGTTTTAGACATTCAATCAGATCCTAGAGAGAGAAAGTGGGGGAAACACATAGAGAGAATTTGAGGGTTCGTTGAGAGAGATCCAAGGAATCAAAGGGTGAGGCTAGGGTTTGGTAGAGAGATCATCAAATTCGGTGGATCCCTGCACTATTTCGGCGGCTGAAGCAAGGATGGTGGTGGTGGAGCCTACGGTAGCTGCGAGAGCAGTGCTATAGCAACGTCCCTGTTTTCTTTACTTTAGTTTAATGGTTATTATTTCTTTGTTGTTTCTTCCCACCCAAGTATGGGCTAAATTGTTATGAGTGGGTGATAGAGTACCCTTATTGTAATGTAGTCAGTTTGCCTAAACTTTGCTATATGATTGTCCTTTTAGTTGTTTAATAAAGTGCTTACTTTGTCTTTATTCTTGTTGACTTATTGATGCTATCCGGCAAGTATACCGTTTCACATAAGTAGTAAAGTAGTAAGAAAGATCGTCTCCTCAGGGATTGAAAACCAAGTACTAAAATAATCAGTCACTTTAAGTTGAAAAACTTGATCTCTTGTTGGGAAAATTAAATTGAATCTTAGTAACCATAAAAGTAAAGACTTATTTTTGAGTTTTTGTATTTTCAAGAATGAAAAGAAGAATAATAATGGAGTTGGTTTTGAAAATATGAGAAAGAATTGCAGTTAGGGAACACTCTCCCTATGATCCCCACTTATTACTTTGGATTGATACAAAATACTTATTTATATAATTTCTCAGATAATTATGATCTCAATATATTAATAATTAAATCCCAATCCCTTGGTAACTTAACCCTTTAACCTCACTTAGAATCTTAATCCCTTAGTAACCCCTCATGAGAATTAAGCAATGAACACAATAATTCCAACATCTGCAATTAAATATACATCTATCCCTAGTATGCATACCAATAGTTATCTTATCTCCTTTCAAGATCAGAAACCCCAATATCCCTATTTAAGGTTCTAACCCTCAAACTATTTTCAACTATCAAATTGATCAGGTTTAATAAAGAAAATATCAAATACGCACAAGGTAAGATAAAGAAATTTATATAAACGAGTAAAATAATTTAAATCAATCCGTCATAACAAGGGTTCACATAGGGTTTGTGACCCTAACTACAATAAAAGAACTTAGCCAGACATAGTCATATCTGACATAAACAAATATTCAAAAGAAAGCATAAAAACTATAATTACTGGAAAAAATGGAGAAGAAATCTTGATCTTCAGTCACCCTCTGCTTGCTCCGAGTTGTTAATTGGTTCTTTGGTTGTGCTCCCAAGCTCCTTATTTATAGCCACAGGAATTGGGCCCATCATCTAATCTTCCTTTGAGTCCATCCAAGATTTGTATTTGATTTAAACTTTGTTTCCTTTTTCATGTAAAAATCTTGGAGATTTGATTGATAAATTAGAATTTCAAATCTTTATTGTATCTTGATTCAATCTTCTCACAAATCATCTAGATTTGTTTCCGCTTTAATTCCATATCTTTTCTGAATAAATCTTCATCAAATCTTTATGGAATCTGTCGCGATCTTGATCATATCTTTTTCGCATCTCTTTGTAATCTTATCTCTAATTTGGAAAGAGATCTAATTGCTGAATATCCACACTTTATTTTTAAATCTTTTCCTTTTCCAAAATTGCCCCGTTTGTTTGCTTTTTCCTACAAAATTAGCATAAAATCAGTATTCAATCCTTGATTAAGATTTTGACAAATTAACAGTGATTCTTGCTCTTTTTCTCAAGATTTCATCAACATTCTTTCTCTTTTTTGGCTCAGATTTCCTTATATGCTAAGCGCATATCACTTATCGAGAGAGAGCTGCAAGATAATTAGGGTTTGGGCTATAGAGATATAGGTGAACTCAGAAAGTTATTAAGCATTGTGGTTTAACTAATTTAATTAGTTAATTGTGGGTAGAGAGATCATTCACACCACAAAATCAAATGGAACTTGCACTTAATGATTCATAACTATGTTGGCCGTCGAGATGTGGGACTTAGTATACATGTAGAGTTGGTGAGAGCCCTTGCATGCATTAGTGTTCTGGTTACTGAATGGATAATTGCTGTAGCATGGTTACTACATTCTGGTGAAGTTGCAATAATGGTGAAATTGATCCCAATCTATCTTTAATACTTGGAAAACCTATTTTATTACTGCATTCTTTTAGTTAATTATTAGTTTTATTGTTTAATTAGTCATTAACCTCTTCCAAATTATCTTTGTTACCTTGATTGCTTTACATTGATCCCAACTTTATAGTTTTCTTCTTGGGAACGATATCTGGACTCACACATCCACTTTATTACTTGTTGACACGTGCACTTGCGTAATGTGTGATTGATAAAGGGGTACACAATTGCACAACAAGTTTTTGACGTCGTTGCTGGGGAAAACTTATAAAGTTAGGTTCTTTGTGAAGTGATACTTGATCCCTTTTCTTTCTGTTTTTAGGTTTTGCAGGTAGTACATGAACAGTCCCCCTCACTAAACAGAAGTATACTTTGATCCAAAAATTGAAGGAACACTTCAAGCTAGGAAGAGGCAGCAGTGACAGAGCATTGCTACAGCATTACCTCACATGGAAGCAAGAAAAGCAGGTTCTGGTGTTAATGGACTAGGTCCAAACCAGGATGAAATTTCAATCAGGGCATATGGAATGCTTTCACTTAACAATCTTCATTCTGCCATTGTGCAACCTGATGTTGCAGCAAGCAGTTTTGAATTTAGACCAGTGAAGTTTGACATGCTGCAAACTATTGGCCAGTTCAATGGGTTGTCAAGTGAAGACCCGCATCTACATTTGAAGAACTTCATGGACATGGCAGACAGCTTTAAGATGCAAGGAGATACATCTAATGCACTGAAACTGAAGTTGTTTCCTTATTCTCTCTCCAATGGAGCTAAGATATGGCTTAACACTCTACCACCTAATTCAATCAGAAGATGGGAGGACCTTGCTGAAAATTTTTTGATCAGATTCTTTCCTCCCACCAAGGCAGCTCAATTGAGGAATGATATAGCAATGTTCCAGCAATTTGATGGAGAATCACTATATGAAAGCTGGGACAGATTCAAGGAATTGCTATGTAGATGCCCCAATCATGGCATACCTGAATGGATCCAGATGGAAACTTTCTACTATGGGTTGAGTGGAAAAACTAGAGATATAGTAGATGCATCATTTGGAGGAGCTCTCTTGGACAAGACTTACACTGAAGCATATGATATCCTAGAGAGGATGGCATATAACAATTACCACCGGCCAGCAGAGAGGTCAATTGCACTGAATGAAGCTGCAGGATTGCTGGAGCTCGATGCTATATCTTCATTAGCAGCACATATATCCTCTCTGAATAAGTCAATAGAGACTCTCAATCTTACTGCTGATGCTAGAGCACAACAAGCACATTCAATTTATAATGCTGTAACATGTGTTTTCTGTAAAGACCCACATGTTTATGATGATTGTCCCCAAAATCCTGAATCTCTTTGTTTTGTAGGAAATTATAACATGAATGATCCATATTCAAACACCTACAACCCAGATTGGTGGAATCATCCAAATTTTTCCTATTTTGAAGGGCAACAGCAAGGGTCAGCGTATGCTACAGCACTGCAAGATCACAGACCACCATTCCAGCAGCAGCAACAGCAACACCATTCCAGCAGCAGCAACAGCAACAACATTACCAGCAGCCAGAACAGCAAGCTGACAACTTTGATGCGATGGAGAGTATGCTAAAGGACTTTATGGCAAGAAGTGATGCTTTTATCCAAGACCAAACTGCATCAATCAAGAACTTGGAGACTCAAATGGGTCAGTTGGTGGAAGCTGTGAAAGATATATCATATGAAACACTGCCCAACAATATTGAAGATCCAAGAAGCATTGGATATGAGCAAATCAAAGTTGTAGCATTAAAGATTGAGAAGGCAGTAGATAGACCAGAGGCCGTAGAGAACTACCACAATCTGAAGGAGGAAGCTGAAATTCAGAAGGAAGGAGGCAAGCTTGTTGTGGAAGATGAATTAAAAGAACAACATGTTGCACCTGAAGTTGCTATCACAGAACAGAATGCTACAACAAAGCAACAACAGTGTTAGCAAGTCAACAGGACAATTAGACCACCACCTCCCTTCCCTCAAAGACTTCAGAAGCAACAAGATGATGTGCCAGAGAATAGCACCTTATGTGATATTGAGGCTAATGCGAATTTGAAGCCCATGAATCTACTAGAAAAGATAGGAATAAATAGCATAAGGTCTACAAATATGACTTTACAAGTGCCTAGTCAAGTCATGAAAATATCAGTTGATGTTGTTGAAAATGTGATGATAGGAAACTCTGCACACCCAATAGATTTTGTGGTCCTTGAAATGAAGAAGAACCCAATTATTTCTCAATATCTTGAAGAGTAATGCCTTGATACCCTAAATGTTGTGGAAGATACGTGGAAGAGTGAGCTAATTCTTGAAATAGATGGAGACCAAGATAAGGACAATCCCAAGGTCAAGATGAAGGAGGAGGCTACATGCGAGAAAAGTTTGACCAAGGATTCAAAGTTGTTCTTCTTCCTTTGTTTCAAGCCACCTTGATTATCAACCAAAGTTTGGCTAAAGACTATAAAACAAGCACTTTTGGGAGGCAGCCCAAATTAATTAGGAAATTTCTATACTTTTCTTTAGTTTTATTGCTTTTAAATTTCTGAATTTCAATTTTTAGATTAGGATAAATGAGCAAACAGATTCTACACTCATTATTTTTGTTGATGTAGGTGCAATTTATGGGCAATTAAGGTTCCACTGCTACAGCATTGCAACAACACTGCTACAACATTGCTACAACACTGCTACATCATAGCTGTGGCAAAAGGAATAAGGTGCTGAGGGGAAGAAAGTCAAGTTTAATTCCTGAATGAAATCCTGAAAGCACTCAGCAAAAAGCTGAGTTTGGAGTCCCCCAAAGCATTTTTCCAAGAACCCTGTTCTAGAAATTGAGTTTGGAGTCCCAACAACAAAGGGACTCCACCATTATGAAAATTCAATGATAACCCAGGTTGTCTTGTTTCTTTCTTGTCTATATCTTTTTGTACCTACTGGAAAATATTAGTAAGGAATTTGTATGCTATGTAGGTTTAAATTTTTGTTTTATTTTAGTTTGTTTCTATATCAAATAAAAGAAGTTAGGCAAAACATAAAAGGAAAATAAGGGACTTATGAAGCAAACTCAGTACTGATGCTGAGTTAAGAATGAGATAGAAACTCAGTACTGATGCTGAGTTAAGAGTGATGAAGGACTTAGCAAATCATTGAGAAAGTATTGTTGTATCTCTGTCTATTCTGTTATGATCTGTATTGTTACAGGATTGCTACAACACTGGGTAAGCATGAAAGACAGTGGTTTAAAGCCAAAGTCTAAATGGAAACCCAAGTCAGACTTGAAAAGCAGAACCAACTCAGGGTGAAAGGCCAATGGATGAACCATTCAAGCACAAAGATCAATTCAAGGGAAGATAAATTAAGGAATAAATAGCGGAAGAGGGTTTAGGGTTCAACAATTTGTTAAGTTTGAATCCTATCACATGAAACAGATTTGAGGGCTATAAGGGTTAAAGAAGCCAAGCTACAAAGTGCCAATGCACAAATAATTCTTCCTCAAGAAAATAGAGTCAAACGAAAAAGAAAAGAGGGGAAAACCCCAAAAATAGACTAAGTGCAAAAGCACTAGAAAAAAAAAGAGGAAGACAAAGCTAAAAATGCAAGGTGGACACTCGTTCCTTCAAATCTTGTGTACACGGATGTGGATTCAATCCTGACAGAGCATGAATCAAGCAACTAGACCTGATGATTTTTAGTTTGAAGTTCCAAGATGGATCAACCTAAGAAGCAAGCTCCTAACACACACACACACACTGAATCATCCAAAAGCTATGAATCCCTGGGAAGATGAAGCCAACAAGAAATATTGAAGTTGAAGTAAGGATGATGGCTGAAGATCAACAATCAACTGCACAATGCTGTAGCAATGCTGCTGCAATATGGAGAATCTCAACAATAGTCTCTGATACAAAAGTACTGACTTGATGTTAGTTGAGCCTGAGAAGTGTTTTATTGCTCGAGGACGAGCAATGTTTTGAGTTTGGAGTGTGATAACTCTCTAAAAGAGAGTTATTTTAGGGCTTAATTGTGATATTTTGGTACCATGATTGTATATAATTCTCTTGAATTTATATGATTAATGCATGAATTCTATGATTTCATGATTTAATTGAGAATTATGTTAATTATGTGTAGTTGGATATAAATGAGCATTGGAAACATTTAAATACACTTGTTATTTTACTGTAGGTCAATGCTATAGCATCAGAAAGCAGTGCTGTAGCAGTGGAGATGAGGTCAGCAATGCATCATCACCAGCAAGCTATGGATCCAAGCCCAATTAGCTAGAAGAAGTTTCTGAACGTGTAATCAGAGTCCTGAGCTGGCTACGCGCTTTAAAACATTCAAAGGATCACCATTAAAGCTTCATTAAATCAGCGATTACATTTCCAAATTCAGACCTGAAATTAACACGAAATGGAAAGAATTTGATGAGATATGCAGTAGCATTATGCTTTGTCCCTAATCAGCGCTGCAGCAAATAAGGAAAGAATCTTCAATCAGCGTTGTAGCAAAACACAACTGTATCTTCAATCAAGCGCTGCAGCAATAAGGAAAGAATTCTCTGTCAGCATTACAGCAAAACAGAGTGCCATCCTTATCCACTCACACGACAAATTTGAATGAAGATTTACATGGACCTGAAGAGTTGTTGGAGGCCTAGAATATCAAGTATATAAAGGAACGAATCCTACACACATAAGAAAGGCTAGGAACGCTACACATGTTTTAGACATTCAATCAGATCCTAGAGAGAGAAAGTGGGGGAAACACATAGAGAGAATTTGAGGGTTCGTTGAGAGAGATCCAAGGAATCAAAGGGTGGGGCTAGGGTTTGGTAGAGAGATCATCAAATTCGGTGGATCCCTGCACTATTCCGGCGGCTGAAGCAAGGATGGTGGTGGTGGAGCCTACGGTAGCTGCGAGAGCAGTGCTATAGCAACGTCCCTGTTTTCTTTACTTTAGTTTAAT